GATTACCTGAGCTTGGGAAACTGGTGAAGAAGATAGGAGGGAAAGAAAGAAGAAAAAAAGAAAAATACAAGCAAAAGGAAACTAAAACAAAACAAAACTAAAAAAAGTGTTCACACTTATGAAAAAAACAAGATCCAACAATCAAAAACAAACAAACAAACAAAACAAAGGGAAAACAAAGAATAAATTTCTCTGATTTCAAGCCCATTGTTATCTCTGGCATCTACAGTTTTGTGGAAGTGTCCAATTCAGGGCATGTCTCTGCTGTTGCTGGTAGACCAAGGAGGCAGTCAGAGCCTGAGTCTGCGCTGGATGTTCCCAGCAAGCCTGTAATGGGAGTAGGGCAGGTGCTGGGTAATCCCAGGAAGCGTGCAGTAGGATTAGGGTGGGGTTTTGATTTGGGTACTTTCAACTCCACAAAAGTTTGGGCTGCTCCTGGCCTCTGGTTGTGGGGTTGGGGCCCGAGTCTTTCAGCCTACAACACTCTGGGTGTCTCTGGCCTTGGGCATTCCCCTCAATTGTCCCTCACCCAGTCACTGCTCTGAGATCAAGCCAATTCTTGGCTGCTCTGTGTCCTATGTTTAGTTGGCCCCTCATTAAAATGGCCTCTGACCAAGCACCCTCTGCAGGGACACAGCAGTCATTTGGACTAGAGTCATTCACCAGCTATTGTAATGTGCGACATCCACTGCTTTGTCCCACTGGTGCATTTCTTCCTGGAAGCCTCTGGAGTCACCTGCCCTCAACATGACTCTGTAGATATGATCTGACTTCCTCACACCACAAACTGGGAGCTGGGGAGAATGTGAAGATTGCTCTTTCCTTTTTCTGCATGGAGGTCTGCCTCTTCACTTTCTCTGTGTGCTTCAATTTCCCCTTAGATCCTTCCTAGGACCCAGGGATCCACCTCCTTCCTTCTCTTCTTCCCCAGGTTGTTATTTTCCAGTGTCTTGATTCCATATCTCAAAGCGATTGGCATTTTGCAGCTTACCACTCTGCCATCTTCCTCCAGAGTCTTTCACCTAAGCCCGAATAAGATTCTTTAAGAGAAGTGACTGTGGAGCTTTCATGCAGTGGGATAGTATTTATCAGTTAAAAGCAAGGAACTCTGATAGACGCAACAACTCAGATGGACCTCAAGGGTTTTACTGAGTGAAAAAACCACTCTTAAAAGGTCACTAACTGTATAATTCTATTTAAGTAATACTCTTAAAATGACATAATTATAATAAAATAGAAGGGACTTGTGGTTGCTGGGAAGTAGGGGCCTAGGGGCAGAGGAGCAGGAATATGACCAGGACATTTCTTGTTCTGTATTTGGAATGTGATGCTGGCTGTATGAATTTGGACATGTGATAAAATGGCACAGAACTACATGCATACATTACAGCAATTGACCGGAGTCACTCACTACTGCTGTCGTGCTCAGCATCTGCTGCTGCACTCTGCTGCTCCATTCCACTCGCATTACAGCAGTGTGAGTCTTCCGGTGTGGATACTGCACTCTAGTCATATCAGATGTAAGCAATGGGGAGAACAGGTGGAAGGTACCTAGAATCTCTATTATTTTAGTAGCTTCCTCTGCATTTCTAATTACTTCCAAATAAACTACTTGTCATTTTTTTTTTAAAAAAGGAATTAGCTTTTGTAAATACAGAAACATATAGCAAGTAATTATGCTTAATGGAGAGAGCCAGTCAGAAAAGAATATGAAAGAAAAAACATAAATTGAATTACATCAAAAGCAAAAACTTTGTCCTGTAAGTAATACTATAAAGACAGTAAAGATAACCTACATGATCTGAAAAAGTATTTGTAAATCATTATATCTGAAAAGAATTTGTATCTAGGATATATAAACAGCTTTTAAAACTCAGTAATAAAAAAAAACTCATTTGAATGATGGACAAACACTTGGATGCATGTATCTCCAAGGAAGACATCAAAGAAAACATGAGCAAAAGATGCTCAGCCTCTTAGCCACCATGGAAATGCAAACCCAAACCACGATGAGGCAACAGATCACACTCACTAGAATGACGACAGGCAGAAGGAGAGGTGATCACAAGTGTTGGCAGGCTGTGGAGCTGTGGGAACCCTTATGTACTGCTGGTGGGAATGTAAAAAGCTGTGGCTACTATGGAGAACAGTCTGGCAGTATTTCTTCATGTTAAAGCAGTTACTACATGACACAGCTGTTACTTTCATAGTTATATACACAAAAGAATATGAAATACATTCACACAAAACTTGGACATGAATGTTTACAGCAGCATTATTTACAATACCCAAAAAGGAAAAAAACCCAAACTCATCAGCTAATGAGTAGATGAGTGAAGCATGGGTTGGCCATGCAAGAATATTATTTAGTGATGAAAAAGGAATGGTGCCCTGGTACGTACTACAGTGTGAAAGAAGCTAATCACAAAGGCCACATATCACATGTCTAGAATATGTAAGTCTAGTGAGGCAGAAAGTAGATGAGCAGTTGCCTAGAGATAAAGATTGGGAGAAAAGGCAGAATGATTGAAAATGTATACAGGATTGAGGCAGAATATTAGGGTAGGGCAGACTGGCTGGGAAAATTACCAGTTAATTGCAAAGGTCCAGGACACATGTGCACAGCAGTTCCTGCAATGTGGACTTCTCATGTAAACTTGCGCTGTTTTGGATAGGATGGCCTAGACCTGCCATCAGCCTGAGATACAAAAAATTGTCACCGCTGAGATCTGTGCTACTCCCTTTCACAGTCATCCACTCCCATGATATGCAGTGTACTTCTTTTCCTACTTTTGCTTGACTCAAACTTGATTTACAGAGCACATTTCTTTTCCTACTTTTAATAAATATAAAACTTTGCTACCTTTTGTGCTCATCTTGATCACTTCTCTGTGTAGGACAGAAAGAACCTAGAAACCTCTAGAAGGAGACTCCAGCACCCCAAAACTCAGTAACAGGATTTCTTACGAGGCAGAGGGATGAAATCATTTTAACCTTGGATTGCAGTGATGATTGCAAAAGTATGTAAACATACTAAAACAATTGAACTTTATGCTTTAAATGGGTGCATTTCGTGGTATATGAATCATATCTTAATAAAGCTGCTAAAAAGAGCCGAATATGGTGGTACACACCTGTAATACCAGCACTCTGGAAGGATAAGGCAGGAGGATCCTAAGTTTGAGCTCAAATTGTGCAAATAGTAACTTAACAAGACCCTGTCTCAAAACAAAAAGTTAAAAAATAAAAATGACTGGGGATGTAGCTCAGTTCAAAAACCCTGGGTTCAATTCTCAATATTGCCAAGAAAAGATGATAATAATAAAATAAAGATGTTTAAAAGGACTACACGCTGTATACTGTATGATTCCACATAATCAAAGCTCTAGAAAATGCAGGCTAATCTGTGTATAGTGTCAGAAAACAGGCCAATGGTTGCTTGGGGATGGCAGAGTGGAGAGGGGTAGGGGCAGGAGAGAGGAATTACCAAGGACATGGCAACACAATCAATCGCTATCTTGATTGTGGTGATAGCTTTATGGGAGATAAAATTGATCAAATTATATAAAGTATGTATAAAGTTGATCAAATTATATAAAGCATGTATAGTTTGTTGTATATAAAATATCACTCATTTTTTTTTAAAAAAGCAAAAGCATTCACGACTTTAATAAACAATTCTTAAGTAGTAGAATACTATTGTTTTAGATCCTGGGGCATATAATGGCAAGCAAAAAATACCTCCAGCCTTCAAGTAGTATTGCATAGTTTGTCAGGGAACAGGCCAAGAAAGAAGCAGAGTGATGTCCTATAAGCTCTATAGAAACATGTCTGGCAAGGCACAGTCCCCCTGTTGGTGGCAGATGGAGGGGAGAGGTTGCTGGAATGGCTTCCTGGAAGCAATGGCTCTTGAGCTTAGCATTTAAGGACACATGGATGCATTTTGTGGTGTATGAATTATATCTTAAGAAAGCTACTGAGAAGAGCCAAGCATGGTGGCACACACCTTAGGCACACCCCACACCCTAGTGGAAGTTAGAGACAGAAAATAGAGTTTGTGATGCGAGAATAGTCCTCTTTGCTGACACCGCTGTGGCAGGGACAGTAGTAACACTGTACCTAGTTGTTGAATCTCCACACTCAGAGAGGCCCTTGTCCTCTTCTCACTGTGTCAAAACTCTTCTTTGTCCCCAGGAGCCACACTGTTGTATGAACAGTAAGTGCGAAACAAGGTTATAACAGCCTTCATTCCCTCTGAAAACGTGCTATTATTTAATTATTGTGCTTGTGTATTCAAGGTCTGCCCTTCTCGCTACATTGTTCTCTGAGGGCCAGAACTGAGCGTCCTGTTCAGCAGCCTGTCCCCTGCAGGTAGCGTTTGCCCGACACATAGCAGGGCTTGATCAGATCATTTGCTAATAGGTTTGGATTTGTACTGGTGTGGAGTACAGAGGCTTGTATTTGACTGTTGGCCTCAGGCATAGCTCAGATTGTTTTGTGACAAGAAATAGAAAGTGAAGGGGCTGGGGATTTAGCTCAGCGGCAAAAGCGCC